GGACTCTGCACCCCACAAAGCCGGCACACAGCAGCCCCCTTTGCCCCCCACCCGCGCCCCTCCGCCCGGAGCCCCCTGGAGCAGCCAGCGCTGCACTCACGGGGCACCCCGAAATCTCCCGCAGCCTCGTCCCGGCCCCTCCGCACACACAGAGCCCCGCGGGTGGGGACAGCTCGTGTCCCCCCGCACGAACCGCTCGCTCCAGCGCCCGTTCCTCCCGGCTTCCTGTCCCCAGCGGGGTCCCTGTGCCAAGGACAGCCCTCAGCGCGTTTTCCGGGGGGTCCCTACGGACGCCCCCCAAGCTGCCGGGACCCCCTGTGCCCAACGCCGAGTCCCGTTGCCCCCGGCCGCGGTCGGAGCAGCCCGCCAGCACACGCAGGGCCGGACCTGTTCGTGCTGGGAAGGGGAACGGGGGTCCTGGGGGGTGCCACGGCATCCCGATCCCCCCGACCCCCCGGCCCGCCGCTCACCTTCTCCCGGCCCGCAGCAGCAACAGCAGCAGAGCGAGAAGCCCATGGCGCGTCCCGGCCCGGCGCCCCCCGCCCCGCTCGGCGTCCGGGTGGGAGTGCAGCGGAATCCGTGCCCGGAGCGCGGCCAGAGCGCGGCCAGTGACTCACCCAGCCCACGGCCTCACCCAGCGCGGCTCCTCCTGCTCCCGGGCAGCGGGGAGCCCAACCCCGGCCACGCTGCGGAGACCCCCAGACCCGCACGGCTCTGGGCAGAGCGCAGCGGGCAGCTGGCACAAAGCTGGAGGGGCTCGAACCAGCAGGCATGGTGTGGTATGGCACGGCATGGCATGGCATGGCACAGCCAGGCATGGCACGGCATGGCACGGCATGGCACGGCATGGCACGGCATGGCATGGCATGGCATGGCATGGCATGGCACAGCCAGGCATGGCACGGCATGGCATGGCACAGCCAAACATGGCACGGCATGGCATGGCATGGCACAGCCAGGCATGGCATGGCATGGCATGGCACAGTACGGCATGCCATGGGCACAGCCAGGCATGGCACAGCCAGGCACAGCCTGGCACAGCCAGGCACAACCATGGCACAGCCAGGTACAGCCAGGGACGGCACGGCATGGCATGGCACAGTATGGCATGGGCACAGCCAGGCACGGCCTGGCACGGCCTGGCACGGCCCAGGATCCCCGGCCAGCGAGGCACTGGGGTGCTTTGAGGTCAGCCCGTGTCAACACCCCGAGTACTGAGGGGGCTGCTGGAGCAAGGCACCTCCCTGCTGGGGGGAGCACGGGGGTCTCAGGGTGGGTTTGGGGGATCTTGGGGGCTCCGATGTTCAAAGCCAACACGGCACGAACCAGGCAGGGTGAACCGGGTCAGCAGGAGTGGGGGCTGGGCACGGCACGGCCCGGCCCGGCACGGTGCCGACCCACGGCTCAGCCCCACGGCAGCGGCAGCGCCGCATCTGCGCTGCCGAGATAAGGAGCCGGGGGGCCGGGGGGGCCGGGGGGGCCGGGCCTCGGCGATAGCAGCGGGGAACAGAGCCTGGAACGGGACACGCGTCCCGTGGGATGCGCCTGCCCCGCCCGCCACGCTTCCCGCACGCTGCCACGGCTCCACACGCTTCCCATGGATCCGGGATGCTTTCTATGGATCCGGGATGCTTCCCATGGATCCAGGACACTCCCCATGGATCTGGGACACTCCCCATGGATCCGGGATGCTTCCCATGGATCTGGGACGCTCCCCATGGATCCGGGACACTCCCCATGGATCTGGGACGTTCCCCATGGATCCGGGATGCTTCCCATGGATCCGGGACGGACGCTCCCCAAGGATCTGGGACACTCCCCATGGATCTGGGACGCTCCCCATGGATCCGGGACACTCCCCAAGGATCTGGGACATTCCCCATGGATCTGGGACGTTCCCCATGGATCTGGGACGCTCCCCAAGGATCCAACCTGCTCCCCATGGAT